TTTCTGAACATTAATTAATGTGCTATATTCCTGAGTCAGGTATCAGAAACGGGCAGAAATAATTGTTAGGTTCTAAAAGACCACATCTAGCGTGGCATCCTTCTGGCCACAGTAACGATTCAGGGATGGGACTCACTAGCTAATGAGAGGCTCTAAGAAGATGCTCAACAACCTGCTTGAAGAGGGAGGAGCACTTGAAACTGGATTGAAGTCCCAGTGGACTTAAAACTGGATGGATACAAATCTGGAACCAATTGAAAACACATAATCCTCAATTTTCTTAATCATACAGATGACAGGCATCATCGATTAATAAATAGCTGACATTTATTAAGTAGTTACTGTACACCTGATTCTATGCTCTACTTTTTATATAGGTTATTGCAGGACAGTTTTCCGGGTAGCCTTGGACCAACCCAATTTCTCACCAACCCTCTTTCTCACCTGTAGTTCTCAAGAATAACTGTAGAACGTGCTGGGGATGCAACATCCTGAAATAAGGAAGAGCAGGCTGGACCAGCCTGGGCTCTCCTGCTCCCCCTAAAAATACAATGTCTTTCGATACTTTATCTCAGTGAATCTTCTTACCATGGAGAATAAAGCCCAGGGCGGGGTGATTTTGGGGGGCCCTCAGCTAGAGTGCCAGTGGGGCATATGTGCAGGTGACATTTCATCTGTCCTGGGAAGCTTCCCTGAGGCTTGGGGGACCAGCTCACCACGAATCATAGGGTCCTGTTGTCCCTTGCTGCTTATCTGTGAGTGACAAACCCACTTCATGTAACTCATTGTGTGTGTGAGTGTTCTACCTTGCCAGACTCAGGCAAGCAGCAAAAGCGCAGCCCTAGATGTAGTGGGCGGAAGTGGTCACCAGCGCACAGAGAACTTGCTTTGCAGTTATGTTATATAGAAGTCACAATAATACTACACAGTAGGTAATGCTACCATCCCCGTAGGTGGTGGGCAGGGAGCTGTGCCACCCAGATCCCTCTACAAGTCCGGGCTTGTTGACCTAGCTGCCGGAAGGCTGTCGTAGATGGCATTTAGCTGTCAGATGCAAAGAGCCACCCAACCCAAAGTCATGTCCTTGCCAACTTGACCCACATCCAGTGACTGAGCTGGTGGAGACCATTAGGACCAAACTATAATGGGCCATTTCAGCCTCAGAGCTCCTGGTGGGATCGGCCAAGGCCAGGGTCCTCTTCCCAGTTCTACTTCCTTTCCCTCCCTTCCATAGGCGTTGATCCCACAGACATTACATCCCTTAGGAATGTCCCTAATAAACCTGGAGCACACTTAACTTCAACTCAGTCTGCTTCTCAAAGAACCCCATCTGCAACATCATTTTAAAGATAAAATGATGAAGCTGAAACTCCTGGCTGAACCCATCACTTGGCATGGGTGCTGAGGGCTGAAACTGCCTAAGTATTTGAATAATGCTTAAGATCAGCAAGGTTGACCTGGAATTTGTAACTGGACTCTGTACTGTATCTCTACGAAGGAAGACAGGTTAGGTCTCCCCAGGACAGCTGTGGAAGCTTGGGCATGCCGGACAGGAGCTCCACCTCCACTGAGAGCAAACAAAGTCCACTCCATTCATGGTAGCTTGCTGTCCAGGGCGGCTATAGGAGACGACTCATAGACAGTTGCAGCAGCACACAAACAAAGGAATTTTATCACATTCTATCCTACTCACTTCCTCTTTGCTTAAGAATGTCAGTAAAAAATGAAGAATCTGGGCATTTTAGCAAATGATTAACCACAGAAAGAACAACTTACCAATTCAATTTGCTTATTTTGGCCTTCAATGTTTCTGTTGTGCAGATGTCATGTTAATCAGGATTACTTCCAGTAAGAGATACAGAAAGACTAACTAGGTTTCCTTTATGCAATTTTTGTAATCGTCACCTCCCATGGTCTTTTGAAATATTATATGAGAATCTATTACAGTTTTTTAAATTGCATTTTAATTAATTCTTTGAGGGAAGACTGTGATTTCAAAAAAATGTACTTGCTAAACAATGAGCTAATAAGACATCATATTAGAAAGAATCTATCAAATCAGTCTTCTGATTGTACTCATTTATCAAGTCATCAAACTAAAATAAAAACATATGTTTCAAAACATGTAAAAGTATTTATAATTTAAGATTAGTAGGAAGAGTGAATGTAGTTCCAAAGTAAGGAAAATGTGTAGGAGGTGAAAGTGTATCAAGGAAAAAGGGAATGACTATCTGATTGGGAATAAAAATTCTAAATAACAGCCCTACAGTGCTTAGCAGGCTATGGAGCTAAAAAACCATCTGAAACCCCCTGTTTAGCAAAAGTCCTTAACCTTTTACACCTAGCAATATTTCTTAAGACTGCATCCCCAAATGGATGGGGATGAGATGAGGATGGATGAGATGTATTCAGTACATTTGAAGTAGAGCTGTAAAATAGAACAATTTTGAAACTTCTTTCTTGATACTCTTTAAGATGTCTTTTTACAGCCAAAAGTAATTTTTAAAAAAACGTATATGCCTATATCTGCATTTTAAAGATGTTGTTCATCTGTGTTGATTTTTTGTGTGGGGAAAGATGGGGGGGGAGTGAAATGGAAGAAGAGCTGGGTCTCCACAGCAATTGAGGTCTGAAATCTAAAACAAGTACCAACCTGGGGGCCAGAAAGCCCCACCCACCTCAGCTCTGGTGTCAGCCAGTCCAAAGCAAGGCCGTATGCACACATGGGCCAACAAGATAGATTGGCTTGTAAATTGCCACAATCAATGATGGAGGAAAATGAGATTACCCAAACCAAATGACACCCATCAAGATAATTCAGCCTGTCAACTTTACTAGCTAATAAGCCTCCATTACAGTGTGATAGGTGGGGGAGAAAACAGCCTCATCTATATAAAATACTCCATACATTCTAACAGGCATTATCTAAGTCAGCTTTGGAGCAGTGACCTACCCAGAAAGGGCCCCCACCCGCAGGTCTTGCCATCGCCTGAAATCATAAACTAAGTATGTAAGTCAGATTTCAGATATGCTCCGCACGATGCAGGTTGAGAGATGGGGCTCTCAGGAGCTCAGAGGAGCCACAGTTTGTAGGTCTGAAGCCCAGCTTGCCTGATTTCCAGATGTCACTGCAGACTCTTAGTTACACACATGCAGATTGCTATCTGAGCTCTAGGGAGTAAGTGAATTCAGTTAAGCCAAATGCTTTTGACTCTGGCATTAATCAAATCCCATCTCATTCAACACATGCTCCTAGAAGAGCCACAGCCCACATCCCCCTGGCAGCTGTTTCGAGTTAGGAAAGTTTTTGAAGTGGTCGACAGAGACAGATAGGTGATGACCATTTCTTGACATTATTTAGTCTAATGTCTTGTAAGAAAGAGACTTTGTGAAATCTTCCTACTGGTGAAAATATATAAAATCAAAATTAGCCAGCATACCCTAACGGCTTCACAAACTAAATAGAATGAGCTTTGAACAACTATAGCCAATGTAAGTTGTTCTTTTAATGTTCTAAGGCTATTTCCACTGAAATCCTGCATCTTGCATTCTTACTCAGAGCCCCTCAAGGATTGTTTGGTCCAGTTGTTTATCTTTGTCTCTGACACTATTAGGAGATCCAGCAGGCATTGTGGAGCATAAAAATAAGGTGTTACACATACTAATATCTTCTGTATATGGGATATGTGATTCAAAAGTAAGAGCAAGTGAGATTACAACCTCTCAGGGGAAACCAACAACAAACACAGGCTCACGGGCTGTGTGCGGCTGCGCATGCACATGACTGATGGTGGAAATTGAGGCAAACACCTGTCCCTATCAGAGTCACTTTTGGAGAGCAGACAGCATTCTTGAGGAGCTGAATTGCTGTGTGATTAGAATGCATGTATGTAGGATAAAATAATCTTGGAAATAAGAGGTCTCTGTGAGCCTTTCCTCTGGAATAAGGTCACTTTCTTGGAGGTAGATTCTGTACCTTGTGGAAGGAGAGCCGCTTTATAAAATAGCACAAGAACAGCCAGTTATGGAAAGGACCGTTATAAAATTATTAGCCAATGCTGTTCATTGCTCTTACAGTTTAATTGTTGATCCGTTCATCCCAAGGGGGGGAAATGGCATAAAAGAGAGGTCTGTTTCTAGGTGGACGCAAGTCGTGGGAAGGCTTTGGAAATGCCCAACTGTTGTCTGTGATGCCCATAAGAAAAAGAGGGTGCAGCAGGGAGCACGATGAGGCGCCCCTCGGAAAAACAACAGAAAACAAGTTAAATCCAAAGAGGGAACTCGTGGCTGTCCAAAGGGTTTGCCCAACTCTGAAGGCAACCTGGGTTACGCTGGGAAAAGTCCACATCCTTTTTTTTGTCTCCAGTGCCCCCCGGACAGACACCTGAGCACGGGCTGGGTGATGCAGCAGCCGGGACAGGGTCCCACTCGCGGCGGACAGCGGCGGTGACCACCGGGCGCGGGCCAAGTCGCAGGGTGCGGCCCTCTGCTGCCCCGGCCAGCTGGCGGCGCCCCCACCCGGCCTTGTGACCGCGCGCCCCAGCCGCGCGCCCCGGGCCGCCTCTCCTGGATTTCGGCCCAGCGGGAGACAGCGGCCAGGGCCTCCCTGCTGACCTCACAAAAACCCAAAGCCCGAGCCCCTGCACCCGGCACACAAACACTGACCCCGGAGCCCTCCTACTTTCCAGGCGTTTCTCCAGGAATAACTGACTTAGAGACTCGGGGAGAAACGTGGCGGGCAGGGGGCGAGCCCCAAAGGTTCCCCCAGCACGGAGCGCCCTCGTTCCCAGTTCGGTGCTGGAGCGGAGGGGGGCTGCGCCTGCCCGGCCCCCACCCCCGTCCCCCGCGCGCTGCGACGCGGGCGAGGACCGGCCGGGGGTGGGCGGCCCGGGTCTGTCGCGCGGTCGCTGCCCGCCCCCGCCCCTCCTCCCGCCCCGCGATGTGGCCGCTTTCCTCCAGCGCGCGGCGCTGCGCTCGCTCTTATCCCCGAGCCGCGTCGCTTCGTGCGCTGACAGCCCGGCTCAGCCAGTCGGCTGGAATTGAGTAGCATTCATTGAATCTGCGGATTTCATGACGTCTCCCTGCGTGGTCCATCACTTTTATCCTAACCGGGGATTTTTTTTTTTCTTTTTCTTTTTTTTTTCCTGCCACTCTTGCCTTTTCCCCCTTCCTTCCAGCGGATCGCCCTCCCCGGTCCTACGCGAGAGCACACTCCACCCCTCCTTGGGCCCGGCGCCCAGCCCTCCTGTCCGCTCCTGGCCACAGGGAGCCAGTCCGGAGACGGCCGCACCTGGCTGGAGAGGGCGGGCGGAGGGGGCGTCCGCGGGACCCGGGCAGCTGGACCCAGACCTGGATGACCCGCGAGGAGGATGGAGTCTCCTAACAGCCTCTGGGGCTAATGTGAAATCTGACCCTCTGAGCCCAGTTTTTCTTTTCCTTTTCTTTTTGTATTTCCTTCCCTCGCCATCCGTCGTGCAGTGGTTATTACACCTTGCTCCGGTCCAAGAGAGGAGATCATGATTGAGTGACACCACCCCGTCAGTCCGCAGCAAGGTAAGCGGTGCGCTGAGTGGCTGGAAGGCGAGAAGCTGGCATGCACCTGGGCAGAGGTTCCGAGCCCTCGGGTCCCCACTCCCCTGCCCGGCTCCGCCGCTGCTGAATGCATCTCCACTCTGATGAGAAGCATCATGCCCAAGTCAGCCGAAAGGCGAGAGAGAAGCCGGTTACATAACAGAAGGGAAATCTGTTTCATTCGGTTTTCATTAGCAACTGAAAAACTCGAATGGGGCGGGGGGAGGAGGGGTCTGCATGCCCCGGGCTCGGAGAAACCCGGTCGGTTATTGCAGACAGTGTCTCAGCATCCCCTGGCAAAGATGAAATGCACTGATTAACTGGCAGGGCTGGTGGTGTAGTCGTGTACAGTTGTGAAAAGCCCATTGTCTTTGTGGAAAGCTGTATCTGTGTCCTGCTTTGCCTAGAGGAGAGGAGAGGAGAGGAGAGGAGAGAGGAGGGAGAGAGGAGGAGAGGAGGAGAGAGAGAGAGAGAGAGAAGGAGAGAGAGGAGAGGAGAGGAGAGGAGAGGAGAGGAGAGGGAGAACATGAGAAGGAGGAAAAGTGCGCGGTGGGGAGAAGGCAGGGAATGAAAACCAGAATACTGTAACTCCTAACTCTTCCCTATCTATCAGTAAAAACGGAGATGTGATACAATGACTAAAAGCAGTGATAGGAAGATCTTCCTAAGAGTCGACTGAATTTTATTTTGTAAGTAGAAGGGGGAAAAAAACCTTCAAGATAAAATGAGATATTTATGGCATTTTTAGGGGGTTGGGTGAATCTGCTGACTTTGCTTCCTCCTGGCTATATTTTCATTTACATCAAGACATTAAGCTTGGATTAGTTTTTAACTGAAACAACATCAGTATTCCCCAAACCTAATAAAATCCTAGGTGGATCCACAGGTATATGTCTTGTACCAGGCGCAATATGGAGCAACTCTTAGGGGAAAATATATCTTCCCAGATACAGCCACAGAAATGGAGTGAGGTTAGTGGAGAAACCAAATACCAGAATTTTCCTAAGAATCCCGCCTCCACTCCCCAAAAAGGGAAAGGGGAAAAAAACTCCAGTGTTTGGGAGTTGGGCATGTATTATATGTTTAGAGTGTCTCCCAGCTGCTTTCACCCAAAGTCCGCCGGCCCAGGGAGCCCCAGGGCACAGGGCAATGCCCATCCCCGCCAGCACGGTCCCCTGCCTGCCTTTCTTTTGCTGAAAAACGGAAACGAGTGATGCCCACGAACTGCTCAGAAAGGAAAAAAGGGCTCGCTGTAGCCTGGGCTGAGCTAGCTAAGCTTCGCCCATTTTGCCTGGAGAAAGGAAGAGAAAGAGCTCGAGTCTCCATGGCGACCCAGGTGGGAGGGGAGAGGCAGATCCAGTTACAGAAAAAAAAAAACACTGGACCAAACTTTCCCGGCTCCGGGCACAGAAATAAGGCGGCCGCGTGCCCTGTGTAGGGTCTCGGGGCATCGGCCGTGCCCAGGTCCCGGTCGGCGACGCTGGAGAGGGCGCTTAGAGCTGCGGGGTCCCCTCCAAGCTCACGCAAGTCACCCGGGGACGGCAGAGGGCTCCGGAGCGGTTCCGGATTCAGCACCAAGGCCAGAGCCCAGGGGGCCGCCTCCCGGGTCCGCAGCCCCAGGGAGCGAGCAGTACTCCCTGCCTGGGTCTCGGGAAGTCAGTCACTTTCTGTAAAAAAAAGATTTTTTTTTTTTGCTTGTGCAAAATCTGGATATCAAATTATCCGCGGAATTACGTGAGGCAAAGGAGCTTGCAAATCATCCATTTTATGCATGGCGGTGCATCAGAATAACTATTTAAAATCAGGAACACTGACACAGGGAAAGACCTGAGCTGACCCGAGAGTGGAGGAAGATCCCGTCTACAAGGGGGGAAAGGGCATGCGCGCGCGCACACACACACACACACACACACACACACACACACGGGGCAGCCCCGGAGGAGAGTTGCTAGCTCCATCGGAGTCCCTTTGCTTACAGAATCATCCATTCATTCCTCACCCTCTCACACTCCCCTCCCTAACTTTACACTGGGCATGGATGGCAGCAAGGCGCTGTGGCAACAGCAGGTCAGCGAGAGACCAGCCAACCAAGTTCTGCCTAAGGGTCCTAAGACCCAAGAGGGCGGAGAAATAGTTTCCTCTTAATCCAGACCCCACCGGCCGGGAGCAGAGCTGGTGAGCTCCTTCCTGGAGAGGGGAGACAGTGCGCTAGCAAGATGACAGCCAGCGAGCCTGTCCTCAGGCCAGCGTTTGGGCAAGGTGGCTACATTTCCAAGCTTGCAGACATAGGAGGAGTCACTTCTGACTGAGAGGAGTCACTTCTCTTAATACAAACAAGGAAGAAGCTGTGCAGGAAGGGAGGATTTCCTATCGTTCAAGTTCCATTTCAACCTTCCTACTGGGAGCAGGTAAGTCCATGGAGTTCTTCTGCCCTTGTCTTACCAGAAAGCTGGGCTCTTTGCCCTTTTCTCATCTTTGGTAGTAGGTTATCCCGCCCCCGCCCCCACTGATATGATGAGGGAAAATGGTACAGGAAGGTGGCAGTCATCTTTCAAGTAGAAAGCCTTTAAGAGTGGCATCCAGGCGTTACAAAGTGTGGTTTGAATTGTGGAGCACAGTCAAGGTTTGCAACTGGTTGGAAATGTTGATGAGGTTTCTGCAATCCTCTCTTTTAAGGATGCACCTATGCATGAAGTCTTGAGCCGTTTCTGATTTGTTATTTTAATGGTAAACACTAGCTATATCCTGGTTAGATATATCCAAAGATATTAGATATATCCAAAGATATATCCTGGTTTTCCTTGCTGGGCTTTCCTACCAGGGACTTCTTGTTGTTTTCTAAAGATAATGCACTTGGGACATGGTTCAAGCTGTTTATTTAGACCTTCCAGTATTTTTTTTTTTTCATGATCAATAGTGGAGGCAGAGCAGTTTACTCCAAATCTGGGCAAAAGGGTAAGAGATTACATTATTTCTTACATTTGGGCTCCTGATGGGTATTGACAAGTTTATCCATGATTTAATTTATAAAAAAGTGGCTACCTACAGTAGAGAGAAGTGATGCATGGAGTATTGTTGGGACTTTTACAAAGCAGCTATACCCTGGCTTTGTTCCATCTGATATTATCAGCAGAAGGCAAGTAAAGATTAGTTATAAAATACAGCCATATGAGAGTATAGATTGTTAGATAAACAAAGTATTGTATTTGTGAGTTCTAAAGTTCAATTTCTCTTATGAATTAAAAAAAGAGGGCAGTATATGAATAACCTAGGTATGGGAAATTTTTCAATCAATAATCTTTAGTTCCGGTAGATTCCATGCTCATGTATTCAGTGCTAATTTACCAAACTATGACTTGATTTCTTTCTAGATGGCTAAAATGTCATTATTCCCTTATACAGTCAATAGCATGCTCCAGAATAATTGGTTTACCCATTTCAAATAAGATTTGTTAAGGACAGCAACTTACTAAAATTCACCTTTGTGCACTTGGTTCCATTTTGTAATTTAAATATAAAATTGTTTTGATACCTCACCTGGGCATTTCCTAAACATCAATAAATATTGTATTCAACTGTATGACTCAGGTCTTTATTGAATACATAGGACTTACATAGATTGTTCCCTTTAAGAATACAAAAATACTTTAATTCTCTCTCATATTCCTCTCTACCCTCTCACAGACTATCTCTATAGGATAAAAGGAGACCATGAGAATAGCTGTTTAATAAGCCAAAGAAAAATTCACTGGGGATTAAAATAAGTAAATATGCCCTTATGGAATCTTAACCCCATTCACTGATTTTCATAAGTAGAAAATGTTGCTGTTCCAAAGGGTTCAACATTGACCATGCAAACCTTCATGAAAACAAGATAAATCCTCTTTATGGAAAGGCAAGCAGGCAAAGTGAAGCTCTTCTCTTTTTCACCAATTCTTCTTTAATCAAATGATATGTAAGTAATATGTAGATTAGTAAAGAAAATAGACCAGAGTAAGAAGAAGGAAGATAGCAAGAGAAAAAAGCAGTTGTTTATTTTTACCAGCTTTAAAGTGATGATACTTTTCAAAGCAAGGTTTTGTGTTGTTTTTTTTTTTTAATTGATTGTATCAGAATTCCGCTTGGTAGAATTGAGATGTTTGAGTTCAATGAATTTGGATTTATAGCTTATCGAGATGACATTTATTATTGTCTTATTTTACCTTGAATAGTTGATATTTAAGTACCAAAAGAGAATTGATTCACTCTAAAGTTTTATAAAATTAGTAAATCTGGTAATATCAATAAAAGGGGAATTGGTAGTTAAGTTGAAAAATAATCAAAACACTCTTGTTGAATTAGAGTATTCTTTTTAGTTGTAGTTAAAGTGTTTTGTCAGGTAGAAAAGTAAAATTCAGTCATTTGGGATGAAAATACATTTTAAAATAAGTATATTTTAAATAATTAGAAATAATTATTTATAGAAATAATTGGAGATAATAATTCTTCTTTCCAACAGAAAGAAGAAATTGTCATAATTGCAGTTAATCCTCTAATGGTATTCTGAATTTCCTCTGACAATATACTAAATATACATATGCTTGACATCATTTTAATAGCATTAATTAATAGAAAAATTATTTTTCTCAAATAAAGAACAGTGTCATCTTTAAAAGAATAGTCTGTATCCTCCTCCCTAAACTGTACCCTTGATCCAATCATACCTGCTAATCAGTTGTAAATGTTCATGTATTTATTTATTACTGAATTGAATAGTTATTTAAACAAAATCTCAGACAGTGATTTTTGCTCAGTGTATGATGTTCCAATGGCCATTCGAATCTCTATTTTGTCCAAAATGCAATAAGGCCATCAATCAACTTTTCCTAATTATCACATGTAAAATTAACCCCAAGTTTTAACCAAATGGCTATTTTATTCATGTCTACACAGATGTATCCAAGTCAGATCAAACCCATTAACCCCTTCAGGCTCACGTTCCA